CCCCCCCCCTTCCCCGAACGCGATCGGCAACAATGTTTACGTTCCGGGGATTATGACGCCTGCGCCCCACTCCACACTCAGTGCTTGAAAATGGTTCCTTAGGACTTTGCAAAACGCATCGACTCCCCCACCCCTTCCCTCCCCCTTCCCCAAAAAAGTGCTGGTGCAAAATTGCAAAACTTTAGAGAGACCTGGATGGCTCTTGTTTTTCTTCCTCCCCATTTGAGCCAAAAAATGCTGTACAGGAACTGTTGACAATTAAGTGATGAAACTCTCCAAAAAAATGGAGGCAGAGAAAGACTCTGGAAGAAGATTGGTGTGTAGCTGGCTTCTGTCTATTTCCTATTTGTACATTTTAATTGATTTTGTTTAATTATTTGCAAAGGGAGAAATGCATGTAAAATGTAGACAGCAGAACTACTTACTTTGCAAGAGATCATCTTAAACACTTGGGAAGGGGGTGGTATTTAAGTGAGGGGAAGGTGTGGGTGGCACAATACTCTTTTCTGTTGGTAAAGGATTGTGCTGATGAAGTGTGTGTTTTTCTAGGGCTGGCTGCTGGGGGTGTGTGTGTTAAAATATACGCGTAGAGAGGGAGATCTGGACTGTAAAGTGCTTGGAAATGAGCAAACCCAATGGAGGTAGCTGATTTTACAATATTTGGTTCCCCAAAGAGAGCTAGCTTTGCGCACAGCCAGCCCTCCCTTTTGCAGGCGGGTGTTTTCATGCGGAGTGTGTTGTGTGTCTGAACGTGCAGTTTGCCTGGTGTGTCTGCCGAAGAACCAAGGGCTGCTGTTAACAAGTTACAAGCTGGCTCCGGGGAAGCAGCAACAGCAGCACAGTCCTCTACTGCTGTTTTTAACGGGGCCTATTCCATACACACCTCTCACAGTGCATTTAACTCATTCCTGCCCTTTCCCCCCAGAATCTCTCCTCTCACTTTTTTGTCCCTTAAACTGCACAGCCTGCGATTGAACCGAAATAATGTGGATCGTTGCGGGGTGGGGGGACGCAAATAAATCGTAATGTTACATAATGCGACTTGTTTTTAAAACGTGGCTTCCGGTGTGACTATGGAAACACTTGGATTATGAAAATAATGCAACTTGATTAGCGTG